TATGCTACCTAAACATTTAAAAAAAATCTTCTGGGTCCGGGCTGGGGATTCGAACCCGCCACCTTAGGTGTATGTGGCTGGCGCCTTAGCCGGTTGAGCTATAGGCGCCGAGCCAAGTATACACATTTTAAGACAGGAAAAAACTGTATTGAGTTTGTAATACTCAAGTCACATTTGACTTCTGCAATTACAAGAGGTTCTCATTGTGACTTGTATTCATCTTTTGTTTTCAGTATGTTATTATAATTTGAATGCAATGTTTTCCTTTCTTAAATTGTGTATGCATTTTTTTGACACCCTCTGTATTACCTAACTTCTCTTTGATTATTTATTGTGTCTACAGGTTAGAGAGACAACTCCTTAGTGAGAATTTCTGCAGGCTTTCACCTCTTCTGTTGATCTGTCTTGCTGCTGGATTTGTCATTCTAAACCTTATTTGGTGCTACATACAATTTATGAATTTACAGAAAGTGGTCTTTCAAATCACTTACAGGGTATAACTAATAGCTCTGTGGTTAAAAATCATGTTTCTTTCCTAACCCACTCCTATATCAGACATTGTATACAAGGTGACAGACCATTTTGCCTTGTCAATCTTCACTGTTGTGATTGTTGTTTATGATTTTTATTTTTGGCCCAGTAATCTATAGCTACAAATATACTGCTACAAGTTTTACAATGACATGAATACATAAGTGTAAACTTTCCATCTAAAAAATTGCCCTGACTCAACAGGAAGTAGCTTGAGACTACATCACTCCTCCTCCCATGAATATGGAAGTATAAAATTGAGAGCAGTGAATATGTAACAGAGGGAATGGTCTGGAAAAAAATGGGCAAACATGTTTTATCTCTTTAAAATCTTCTCCACTCTTTTTGGAAACTGAGACCTGCATCCCTGCCTCAGACCATGGTCAGGAGAGGCAGGGGACTGTCTTTTATTCCTTGTGTTACAGGAAATGGTTTAGCTGAACTATGTGAGATGGAGATGGAGGGCTAGAGCCTGCTGGTGAAGGGCTGAAGGCCTCCCAGGAGGGTGGAGGGCTTTGTCTTTAAGCAGAAGTGGAAAGATTACAATTGCAAACAGTAGTTGAACAACAATAGGCCCTCCCTTTTAAAAACTCTGCTTCTGCTTATATTTGGAAAATCTGGGTTTTTTTTTTTTTTTTTTTGGAGACAGAGCCTCAAGCTGTCCCCCTGGGCAGAGTGCCGTGGCATCACAGCTCACAGCAACCTCCAACTCCTGGGCTCAAGCGAGTCTCCTGCCTCCACCTCCCAAGTAGCTGGGACCACAGGCGCCCGCCACAACGCCCGGCTATTTTTTGGTTGCAGCCGTCATTGTTGTTTGGCGGGTCCGGGCTGGGGATTCGAACCCGCCACCTTAGGTGTATGTGGCTGGCGCCTTAGCCGGTTGAGCTATAGGTGCCGAGCCAAAAATCTGGTTTTTTGAGATGTGCAGTCTAACATTTTTCATCCTTTGCTGGCAAAATAATAAATGTCTCTTTTCTTCTCAAATGCTTGTTCCTGTTATTGATGCAGCCTTAGTTAGGGACAAGTGTTGAGCTTTTGGTAACAGATATGCAAACTGTATCCTATCACAAAGAAATTTCATTGATTTCACATACGTGTGCACACACACTCAGATTTGTCTTCATTTGCAATTCATTTCAAAATTCCTTGACTCCACATAAATTTGTGCTTTTCTGACTTTTTCTTTCAACTAGAACATCTCTCTGGTTCTTTCAGTGATTAATAAATAGAAGAAAATGTTTAGCATTTGTTTTCTTTTATATCCCTGTGAGAGTCATGATTTTACTTTTTTTGAAAATTATCTTTTAACAATAGAATTTCCTCTTAAAATTATAGGGAAATCCAAGCCCACTCAATTATGAGTAAACAGAAAAAGGTTGTGACCAAAGATAAACAGAAAATAGGACAATAATCAGGGTACTATACCTATGAAAACAAAAACACATAGAAATTAATAGTTCTAAAATGAAAAAAAAAACCTAATATTTCAAAGTAAGCTAGTGAACTTAACAAAAGGTAGCAGCTATAAAACAACATACAACAGAATCAGAAATGGTCAGGAATGAGAGGGATAAGCAAAAGGTGGGCAGATGGCAAAAGTGCTGATAGAGCTCAGGAATGAATTAGAAATAAAATTTTAAAATTCAGAAATAATGACAAGTTTAATGACAATAATGACTAAATATAATAGAAAATTACTGTCAGAGAAACACGGTAAAAAAGGAAAAGAAATGGAACAGAAATGAAGATATTAATGGATAGATTTGAGAGAAGGTGATAGATACCAAAGGTAGATTCAAATAACCCACACCGGTTTAATGATTCCCAAGGCAGGGAGGGCAAGGGAGAATGCAACATAATAGAATAAATAGTTTTAAACAAAAATTACTAGAGAGTACTGTTTTGGATTGGGCTTGAAGGAATGGAAGGAGTGTCATTCTAAAATATGGTTCCCTGATATAATAAGCATTTTGAGTTGAAGGCACCTAGTGGTCAACAGACACTAGAAGAGATTTTTCACCCAAGTACAGGTACATAAATACAAGATGAACCCACCAAGGAGAACAATTGCTTTTGTTACACAAAGACGAGGTCTGGTGGAGAGAACAAGCACCCAAACACCGTGTTTAAAAGAGGAAGGCCTTTATTCCAGCTGGTGGAGTGATGGCAGGAAAGTTCAAAATGGCCGTGCTCCCAACTGGCTTAGTCTTCTTTTTATCCCCAGTCAAAAAGTTCTGGCCTACAAGTACCTTTCTCATTGGTCTGTTTGAAATCCAAACAGAATTTAACTAGGAGAAGCAGAGAGATGAGGAGATGGAGGGCTCCATCCTCCATCCTCATTCAAGTAGGAGAAGCAGGCTCTGGCTTTTACAGAAGCGGAAGCAAGCATTAGTTTCCAGGTCCCAGGAAGTTAAATTTCTACAGATTTCTAAGAGCTAAGTCATCACTCGCAGGTGTATCCTTGAGCTCTCCTCGAGAAGACCTCAGTTCTCTTAGACCTCACTTTTTCTGGGTATCCTCTCTCATTCCCC